AACCTTTTATATTTATAAATAATAAGTATCAAGTATTTCTAATAAGCTAAATAATTAAGCTTATACAACTAAAATATAATGTTTGTAAATTTTCACGAAATATGTTTACACAGTTCTGAAATTCCTAAACTGTGATCTATTATAGAATCCCTCAAAAATTTCCGCCTTTTTAAACTCACAGCACATAATATCCATCTCAGCTAATTATATATAAAAAGGGCAGTAATCTGTGTACGTGAATATATTAGACTAAATAGCTTATTGAGGGATTTTCTCCATGATTGACCTCAATTACAACAAAGTATATATATTCATATATTCTCTTTTACGAATGGGGGGGGGGGGGGGGGGGGGGGGGGGTAAGGGATGCCCGTTGTCGGAGAAATAGTAAATATATCACAGAGATCCGGCATCTATGAAAAGTTGCCTTATTTTCTAAGTGCCACATCGCCGTGGCCTTTGTTTTTACCTTAATAACTCATTTTAATTTTTGTATTTTTTGTAGCCCTGTCCAATCAAATTTTTCAAGTATAAAGAACTTGTTATCAGCTGAACATTTGTTTAGAAGTAATTGCAGACAAAATTGCAACCTCTGGATTACAGTCGAAGGTTTTGCTTGTTAAATATATTGGGTTCTAATCCCTATATTTTTGTAACCTAATCGTGTAAACCTTTACAATATTTAAAACCAAGATTGGTATATTTAACAAAATTCATAGTTTAAAATATCTACGGTCTACGACATCGGTTTGCAAAGATCTAACGATTAGAAAATCAGAGTTTGTGGCAGAGAATCAATTTCTTTAAATATTGCTTACGTCTACAGTCTATTTTAAGTAAAAGTATCATGGAGCAATGCAAGGTTCGCACTTTTTCATTTTCATTCCGGGATTATCTTCCTTTTTGCCGAAGTTTTGTGTCTCTGTAATATAAAGTAGAATACCAGAGATAATTACTTTTATACGGAGAAAACAGCTCTTAGAGTCTCGGAGTATACCGAATACAGAATACATAGTATGGTTGTGAGCTACTTTCCCAAAGGATTTTTCCCAAGTGGCATCTTCACAAGAGTATTTTCCATAGTTGCAACTTCCCAAATGTGCAATTTCCCAAGGGGCAACTTCCCAAGTATGTCCTAGCCGAAGCGCTCAACCCCCCAGCATTTGTAGCTGCAGCACTCGGACCCCCCCTTCTCATCCTAGCCGCAACGCTCGGCCCCCATATCCCATCCTAGCCGCAGAGCTCGGCCCCCAAAGCAGCCTGCGGCGCCTCAGAGGGTCTAACCTAACCTTTGGGAAGTGTCCGCATGGGAAATCGCACATTTGGGAAGTTGTCACGTGTGAAATTTTCACTTGGGAAGTCGCCCTTGGGAAAATGCCTTTGGGATAGTACCTAACACCCATAATATGGACGATATGTCCACAGTAGTCCTTAGACTATAAATAGTCCATAGTATAAAGGGTCCATGCATTATAAAGGGTTCTAGAGTAGTCCATGGACTATATATAATCCATGGACTACACGGTCTAAAGTAGTCCACGAACTTTATATATTCCATAATAAACATTGTCTATGGCCACTTTATAGGGTCCAGATAATACAATTGGTCCATGGACTATATATAGTCCATAGTATACAGAGTCCATGGACTATATAGGGTCCTGAGTAGTCCAGGACTACACATAGTCCATAGAATACAGGGTCCATGGACTTTATAGGGTCCAGAGTATACAAGGTCCATGGACTATATAGAGTCCAAATTAAAAGGGTCCATGGACTATATCGAGTCCAAAGGGAACTCTAGTAGTCTTTTAAATTCAAAACCTATTCTTACTCTTTTCCAACTGCTGAACTAAATGTTTAATGATTTTGTATTATTGAAAGGATTCAACATTTCATTTAAAAGATTCCTCTGGGATTCTCAATCCAGGGGGGCTAACAGAATATAGTGNGGGGGGAGTTATAAAACTAAAACCAACGTTTACTTAAAATTGTGACTCCATTTTTGATATAAAATTATCTTCTTCTATTTTTATCCCCTGAAATTGTGAAGATATAACAATATATCTTGTTATTGTCAGATAGATTTCAAATAGTTTTTCAACCAGAGAGACAACTTGGAATCCTTTAATGTAATTTTATTCCCATCCCCCTTCTCGAGGATAAAATACACAGGGTGTCTCAATAAACAATGAGATTTAAGAGTTGATTTATAAATTCGTTTTTGATTTCCGAATAATTAATAAATCTTGAACTCACAAAAACCATGGGTGGATGGTCTCATAGGCTTTCAAAAGCGGAGACGGATTTTCTGCATCCTTAAATCAACTTTTAATGAAATCCGAAGACTTACAGTAATTTTCGAATTTTGTTTAATTATCTGTTTAAAATTTTCAATTACAATATACAGTGATAACCAGAAAACTCTGAAAAAGGATGACGACTTTATTGCAATACTTTTAGGGAGTGTTCGAGAAAAATGAAAGGGGGTATAGGCTTGCTACGAAAAATAAGCGCTTCTATCTGTTGCGTCTATAAGGAGAAAATTGTTAAAAACGACTAATACCGAAGAACGTAGTGTCCATACAAATTCAGAAATATGCAACATTCAACTCGGATCGTTAACAAATAAATTTAATTCCAAATAAATCATTCAGATATTACAAACAATAGTCATCGATTATTTTTCGACGCATTCGTAAATAGTTTATATTTCATAATATTTTGTATTTTTCATGATGTGAGAGTTACTTTTGAAAACATTTATTCCTGTTTCAAGGATTCTTGATAATAAAGACGACATTTTCATATTTTCCAGAAATGTTCGAAAATCCAGCGCCAGCGAAAATTATTTTAAAAAAAATTGTGGCATTGGGGACTAGGGTGTCTATTAACAATAAGTATACAGGGTTACCCACAAATAATGAGACTTGAGAGACGACTAAACGGAATTTATGCTGTCGGTTTCCTTATAATCATAATTCCCTGCAACTAAGAACTTTTTGTTTCTTTGTAGAATCATTAAAAAGCAATAAACAGACTACATTCACGACATAAGACTTAATCTAACCTCGGAAACGTCATGTTTGAAAAATTTCAGGTCGTCTTTACGTTCTCATCCTTTGCGGGTGTACATACAATATTCGTCTTTGATTTACAATAGAAGAATTATTGCTATTATTGCTAAATGAACTTTCCAAAGGAACCCTTTTATTTTCAAGATTAAAATAATGTAGACTAACCTACACTTGATTGCTATCTAAAGACAGTGTTTATATAAAAATGTTGTTTCTACTTTTCAGGTTGAATAGTTAACATATGACAATGGCATGTATACATCATTATGTATGGCAACAGCTGGAGGGTAGGGTAGGGCAGGGGTCACTCTTATATAAGAATATAGACTTTAACGACCCGAGGAACTCTTATAAATAATACAGATGCTCATGTCATGGATGTCATGTCATATTTATAGTTATGAGGTTATTAAACAACTTAAAAGAGGGCTACTTAAAAGACGACTTTCTATAAGCTCTAATTCTGAAAATGACAATTTACTTGCGTCATAGCAAACGTAAGACCTTATCTAATATAATGATTAAAGTAATATATCACCTTCCGAAATTCAAATTTTAGGTAATTTATTAAATCAAGTCCGGTTGAATTGATTTGCCTAATACCAACATATAAATGTTAAAACGGTCTCGATATCAAAGACGATATTAGTTTCCGTTGCTTTCGGAAGCGCTCTAGATTTTATGAAAAGGTTTTAATATTATTAATTTGAGGGTAAGTCTAACTTATAGCAAGACAATTGAAAACTAAAATAATGTTTTGATAATCAAAATTAGAAAAAAATTTAACCAACAGTTGTGCCAATTCTGAATAAAATGTTATATTATACAATTTACAGATTACAAAATGGTTAAAATCTCAATTTGAGTAAGCGGTGAAGGGAAAAAAACGGAAAATGTTTTACTTCAGAAAAATAAATCTTCATAGAATATTTGATTATAATTTTCATCGTTAAAAGGGGCCGCAGGTGAAATTCAAGTGATCCGTCTATCCGTCTATGGCGTATTTACAATAATTAACATTGTACGTAAACGTACACAGTAGTTTTTTTAACATCATTTCAGAGATAAACAGATACCAGTCAAAGGTTTAAAGGGTGTTGTTGTAAATCGGACATTCCCCTTCTTGTAGGAAGTGTCACTTGAAATTACGTAAATGCGGTCGGTCCCTTTAAATGTATAAACTTCTAAGGATACTTATTAATAAGAAAGTAGTAAGATAAAACCAAACATTTATTTTATCCAAAATCTGTTTAATATGAGATTATAAAAAAATTAGCATTACGTAGAATTTATTTATACAAATGTAATGCTGAACGACAAAAATAAAAAAAAACTTACAAACAATTGTTTTATCAATTTATAGGGACAGAGAATTTGGCAAAATAAAAATATTATGTTCCATAAAAACCTTATGAAGACCATCAGCAATTTTATCTGCTTTCGCACCATATGTTCATGAATATAAGCTTTGCCATTAATATTCTCTTCATTAGTAGAAATGTTTCATTGTATTCATAATATTTTCCTTTTCATTGATAACATGATCGACAAAGATATCCTTAAATTCCTCTTTGATTTTGGCAGCTTTTGATAAAAAAAAATGCTCGTTATTCTTCTAATCATCAACGTCATGCTCATCAATGATATCCTTGAAATCTTCTTCTACATATTCCTCTTTAATACAGCAATCCTTCTTCTTATCTATATGTTCTTTAAATGTATACTTCAAATCCTTCTTATCATCAAAGATGTCTTCTTCAACATATTTCTTTTTTATCCAGTCAGAAGTCTTCTTTATATTATGCTTATCATCCATAGCATTATCAACGATGATATCCATAGAACCTTCTCTAATCCTTTTATCTTTTATCATTTTGTCCTTGATATTTATATTATCTTTCGAATTAATATCATCAGATTCAGATCATTAATTCATTTACAGCATCAGATTCAGAAGGTTTAATGTTGTCCTCAATATTAGCCAAGTTCTCTACACAATCATCAGACATATCTTCACTAAATTCATCCTCTATGACTTCAAAAGGTTTCGCACTGTTCTCATTATCCTCAATAGTTTCTCCATAATAATCATCGAATATGTCTTCAGAATCCTCCTCAAGATCATCTCGTTTACAAACAAACTTGGATCTATCTCCTGCCATACTTTCTTTTCTCTTAACACAGAGTTCTGCATTTTCCTTCATTATCATTTTTAAATTCTTTATCTCCCTCTGAAAGTTCTGTCATATTTTTGCTCGAGTGCAAATCAACATCATGAGTTTTCATGTGTTTGTTTAAACTAATTTTCTGACGATAGACATTTTTACAAACACTGCAAGGAAAAGGTGTTTCCCCTGTATGAGTTCGCAAATGTGTTTTTAGATTACCCTTTTGAATAAAACTTTTCAGGCAAATGCCACAAGAGTGTTGTCTCTCACCTGTATGGGTTTTTATGTGATTCTTCAATGTGCCATTTTCACTAAACCGTTTCTTGCAGATATCACAAGCATGTGGTTTCTCTCCTGTATGAGTGAACATGTGAATCTTCAAACTGCCGTTTTCACTAAACCGTTTCTCACAGATAACACAAGCATGTGGTTTCTCTCCTGTATGAGTGAACATGTGTGTCTTTAGATCATTATTTTGAGCAAACATTTTTAGGCATACAGTGCAAGAGTATTGCCTTTCCCCTGAGTGAGATTTCATGTGTCGTTTTAGATTACTACTTTGCCTAAACACTGATTGGCAAACATCACAAGAGAAAGATTTTTCATCGATATGAATTTTCATGTGATTGTTTAAAGTGTGTTTGTGAGTAAAACCTTTTCTACAAACAGTACATGAGAATGGTTTTTCTCCAGTATGGGATCTCATGTGCACTTTCAAGTTATAATTCTTGATAAATCCTCTCTCACAGACAAAGCAAGAGTAAGGAGTATCTCCTGTATGTGTCCTAATGTGCTCTTTCAGATTAGATTGTTGAACAAACTCTTTATCACAAATACTACAAGAAAAAGATTTATCACCTCTGTGTATTCTTATGTGCTCTTGTAGGTAATCATTTGAAACAAATCCTTTGTTACAAATAGTGCAGGAAAATGACTTTTCTTCGGAATGGGTTTTCATGTGCTTATTTAAATGCGCATTCTGTCCAAATCCCTTGTTGCAGATGATGCACGTAAAAGGCTTTTCTTCGGTGTGAATCTTTTGATGTCTCTTTAGACTTCCTTTGAGTTTGAACACTTTTTCACAAATGTTACAAGAATAAGTTTTCGCTTCAGAGAGCTTAGTTTCATTTTTTATTAAAGACAATCTTTTTGCAAACTTGTCATCACTTGTATCACAAGATAAAGTTTTTATATCCTCCATGTTGTTAACAAGTATTTCTAACCAAGAACCGTTCCGAGTTCTTTTTGCTTTTTGCTGCTAGTATCTCTCCCTGATCAGTCAACCAAGGCTCCCAATTTCTGAAATACGAAAATACATAGGAAAATTAAAAATCCGTTGAAATGCAATTTTTAATATTTTTATTTGACAAGAAATTGTATCTATCTAACTAGCACCAAACCCCGCCCCCCCCCGCAAAAAAACACACAAAATAAACAATTAAATGCGGTGTTACTGAATGCTTAAAATATAGGTGATAACCTATTATTAGGCAGATGGAAACTTTTTATTATTAAGGCAGATTAAAACCAAGCATGATTAGGCAGATGGAAACTATATCATTATAAGGCAGATAAAAACTTTTTACTATAAGGCAGACAGAATTAAACTAATTATTAGGCAGATAGAAACTATTAATTTATTTGGCAGATGGAAACTACTTATTATTATGCAGATGGAAACTATTTATCATAAGGCAGATAAAACGTATTCATTATGAGGCAGATGAAAACTTTTAATCATCAGGCAGATGGAAACTATTTAATATTAGGCAGATGTAAACTATTTATTACAAGGCAGATGAAAACTGTTCATTATTAAACAGATGGGAACTATTCATTATTTGGCAGATGGAAACTATTCATTATTAGGCAGAATTCGTTATTAGGCAGATGAACACTATTAATTTTTATAGGTAGATAAAAACTATTCATTATTAGGCAGATGAAAAAATATTTATTATTAGGCAGATAGAAACTATTAATTATTAGGCAGATGAAAACTATTCATTATTAGGCAGATGAAAACTATTTATTATTAGGCCGATGAAAACTATTTATTATTAGGCTGATGAAAACTATTTATTATTAGGCAGATGAAAACAATTTATTATTAGGAAGATGGAAACTTTTCAATATTAGGCAGATGAAAACTATTCAATATTAGGCAGATGAAAACTATTAATTATTAGACAGATGAAAACTATTTATTATTAGGCAGATTAAAACTATTTATTATTAGGCAGATGAAAACTATTAATTATTAGGCAGATGAAAACTATTACTTATTAGGCAGATGAAAACTATTTATTATTAGAAAGATGAAAACTATTAATTATTAGGCAGATGAAAACTATTTATTATTAGGCAGATGAAAACTATTAATTATTAGGAAGATGAAAACTATTTATTATTAGGCAGATGAAAACTATTAATTATTAGGCAGATGAAAATTATTTAATATTAGGCAGATGAAAACTATTAATTATTGGGCAGATGAAAACTATTTATTATTAGGCAGATGAAAACTATTAATTATTAGGCAGATGAAAACTATTTATTATTAGGCAGATGAAAACTATTTATTATTAGGAAGATGAAAACTATTTATTATTAGGAAGATGAAAACTATTTATTATTAGGAAGAGGAAAACTATTATAAGGGAAAGGAAAACTATTTATTATTAGGAAGATAAAACTATTTATTATTAGGAAGATGAAAACTTTTTATTATTAGGAAGATGAAAACTATTTATTATTAGGAAGAGGAAAACTATTTATTATTAGGAAGATAAAAACTATTTATTATTAGGAAGATGAAAACTATTTATTATTAGGCAGATAAAAACTATTTATTATTAGGAAGATGAAAACTATTTATTATTAGGCAGATAAAAACTATTTATTATTAGGAAGATAAAACTATTCATTATTAGGAAGATGAAAACTATTTATTATTAGGAAGAGGAAAACAAAGGAAAACTGTTTATTATTAGGAAGATGAAAACTATTTATTATTAGGGAAAGGAAAACTGTTTATTATTAGGAAGATGAAAACTATTTATTATTAGGCAGATGAAAACTATTTATTATTAGGAAGATGAAAACTATTTATTATTAGGAAGAGGAAAACTATTTATTATAAGGGAAAGGAAAACTGTTTATTATTTGGATGATGAAAAATATATGCTTAGCGTTGTTTTACAAAATATCTAATAATTGTTTCATGTTTTAGGTGGAAAAATATTGAAATAAAGGGATTGAAATATAGAAATATATTTGTTCTTAAGCTTTTTTGCAGATTTGCACTGGCAATTTTCCAGGATTTTTTTATCGATAGATTTTTTATGAAATTTTGGAGTAGAATAGAAGAAAAAATCTCATTTTGCTGATCATGTTTTAATAAGTTTTTGCCTAAATCTTGTAGCGAACAAAAATTTTTTTTCTCCTCTTTTGTATTACTTAGAAATACAGTGAGAAGATAAATATAGTTTTAAAAATAAGATAAAAAATAAAAATTTAGAGGAAAACTTGCTTTATTAGTTATTTACTGCCATATGCTGGGGCTTTCAGTGGTTTCAAAGCCTTAAAAACGGGAAGTAATTTTTACTAATCTTTTCTAGACAAATTTCACAAAGTTGTTTGGAATAATTTTGGCTTTAAACCTGATTTTAGGCTTCTGATCAGCAAGCACACGTAAATACCATCATATATCTGAAATAACAGTAAACTTTAAAAAATAAGATAAAAAATGCATTTATTTAGAAAAAACAATCAAAAAGGGTAGAAACAAATATAACGCATGTGAAACTGAATTCCTGAAATTTATAATTACTTGATGTAATTAGTTTAATAATTACAATTACATATCGAATACAATACATTTAAATAACTGATGAAACACTGTGAACATAAAACTAGAATGCTCGATAGATAAATTATTTAAATTTTTACATACATAATAATAACAGGAAGGGTTGTCGCTAAATTTCAAACAAAATCAACAAATTGTTTAACCAAAACTTAATTAAACATGCATTTTTCTCGGCAATTTAAAATTATTAATGTTAGGAATATTTTCAATAAAAATTCCACACTTTTTCCAATAAAAACAACTGTACACTTGTATAAACTATCTTTAATGATCAGCAATGAGCTTACAGGAGTCTTTTCAGGCTTTATCCTGATATAACGCCATTTAGACACTTAAATATGATGCCTTTTCCAGATTAGGACTCAATGTAAACACATCTCTTGTTTTATTCACCCTGTATGTGTTTTCATGTGTAGTTTTAAACCTGAATTTTGGCTACATTTTTTCCCGCACACTTTGCATTCAAAAGGTTTATCCCCTGAATGGGTTTTCATATGTCTGTTTAATCCAGAGCTTCCAAAAAACATTTTGCTGCAGATACTACATGGCAAAGATTTGACCCCGGAATGGCTCCTCATATGAATTGACAAATTTCCTTTTTGACGAAATGTTTTGTCACAGACAGTGCATGTAAAGGGCTTCTCTCCTGTGTGAGTTCTCATGTGTACATTTAGCTCCTGTAGCCGACCAAATGAATTTTCACAATTGCTGCAATTGTATTTTTTCTCTTTGCTATGAATTAACATATGAGATTTAAGATCACAGTTTTTTCTGAAAGTGTTGTTACAAACACTGCAAGTGAAAGGTTTCTCTCCTGAATGTGTTGGCATGTGTGCCTTTAATTCACTGTTTCGACGGAATCCTTTTTGGCATACAGCACAAGAGTGAAGCAGCGACGGTCCAACATGAGTGATCATGTGACTCTTTAAGTTTGATTTCTGATTGAAACCTTTATCACATATGTCACAGGAGAAAGGCTTCTCACCAGTATGGGTTCTCATGTGAAGATCTAGGTGATTCTTCCTTCCGAACTCTTTCTTGCATATACTGCAAGAGAAATTCTTTTCCCCAGTGTGAATTCGAAAGTGTCTTTTTAAGTATTCATTCTGGGTAAACTTCAAGTCACAAATACTACAAGAAAATGCCTTTTCGTTAGTGTGAAGTTTTATATGTTGGGTTAAACTGCTTTTTTGACCAAATCCTGTTTTGCAAATGTTACAAATGTGTGGTTTCTCTCCTGTATGAGTTCTCATGTGTACATTTAGATGTTCATTTCGTTTAAATGTTTTCTGACAAATGTTACAGGGAAAAGGTTTTTCCCCAGTGTGTATTCTTAGGTGAGGCTTTAGAGATGACTTTGCGGTGAAGGTTTGATCACAAATATCGCAGGAAAACAGAGTCTCTGCCATCGTAATTCGTAAATATCTGAAAAATAAGGAAAATGTAACAGTTTGTTTTTAATCTTTGTGAAGAAACAATCTCAAGGAATAATAATTGTCTTAAAACGTTTTTTTAGAAAGTGAATATTTGCAAATTATCTTTTTTCCATCTCATAATCTGAGTTCTTTTCCCTTATGTCCATTTGACAGCCCAAATTTTTATTTTGAATAATCTTTTTGTTTGTTTATCTTCTTGTGATTTTTACATTTTTTTATTTTTTTTATCGATTTTGATGGTTATTATATCGTTAGAACTGACGAGGGTCAAGCCAGACCGAAATATATTTTCAATAAATGTGGAACTAACATCTACTTTTTTACTCTACAGAGGTTTGGTCCATCACCATCACTGAAATTGAAAATGTAATATATTGGAGTAAATGAGTAAAGATGTTAATTCCGTCAAAAAGTATAAGTCCCGGTCATATTAGAAAAACACTACTTAGATAAAACTCTACCTCATAAAACGCTACACTCATAAAACGCTACCAGATAAAACGACTAAAGAAAAAACGCTAACCTATCAAAATATCATAATATTAGGATTGAACTTTTGATTGAATGATAAATTGTATTTTTTATATATTTTTAATAAAATTTTGTAACTTGATTTTTTAAGGGCATTTTAAATAAATGTTTACATATTCTATGCAAACATAAAAATGATAAAAGTAGCGTTTTTCTATTTACTAACGTTTTATGAGTGTAGTGTTTTAAGAGTATAGCGTTTTATGAGGTAGCGTTTTATCCATGTAGCGTTTTATGAGTGTAGCGTTTTTCTAAGTACACCGAAGTCCCCCCCCCCCCATTTACCAATACCTCCCCGCAATTATATTTCTTTCAATAACCTCAACATTTGTTTTGTTCAGATTAATTCTCTGTGAAAAGTGGATACATTGACAATTGTGTGAACTGATTAAAAATATTATTTTTGTTCATGAGATTTTTACTGCTTTAACATGAAAATTAATATTTAGTTTGCATTATTTCAGGGTTACATATATAGGCAGCAGAAGTAAGAGGGGGGGGGGGTGACGTCGGTCCTTCCCCTGTAAAATTGGGAGGGGGACGTACGTGCTCCCCCTGGAAAAACTAGGGATACAATAAGAGAGAGGACTGAGGAGGCACCATATAAATATTTATTTTGATTAAAATAAAATAATTGCCAGGGGGCCAACGGGACATATACCTCTCCCCCCCCCTCTTTAACCCTAGCTATAAAGGCTGGAGGTTCTGAATGTATAGCCGGGGGGGGGGGGGCGATTGGCGCCCCCCCCTAGAAAAAGGCCTTTGCGAATAGGTATAGGGTTGAAATGCATGTGCATCGCCCAATTTGCCAATGCCAGCTCATCAAAAAGAAAATTAGACCGATAACTTCAATATTTTAGGTGCCTGAAAAAACGCCAAAAAAATATCAGAAATATGAAGAATATTTTTGTTTTAAACATAAATGTTTCTATATCCATTTTTCAAAAGCTTTTCAGAAATATAGTTATTAGATATGTAGCTTTAGTCACAAAAAAGTTATCGGCTATTTTAGATTTTTTTTTTCAAAGACCAGACTTTTTTCCACGCTGTACCCAAAGCTATGTATTAAAAAAAATTTTACAAAAATTTCTTTAAACTACTATTCATTAAAAGTCACAAAATTTCACGATGATAGTGTCAAAAATAAGAGTGCTAGGACAAAAACAAACTACAGCCTGTTTAGGGTTAAGTTCAAATTTAGGTATATTCCTAGTATACGATTTTTGGACCCCCAAAGAGAGGACAATTGTTTACCCTGTGTACTCCATCCCCATCCTTTTTCAAAAACATACAGTCTTATTTACGAATATGCAATTGTTTAATAATAAATAAAATAATATATAGCTGTAAGATGAACCAGCTGTGGACTAGGGTTTCGATGAACAACTGTCTGAAATCTGAATCTGATCAGCTGTGGCCTCTCTGTGTGGCAGGGGGGTGGGGAGCCTGGGAGGCGGGGAGGTGTACATATTGATAGAAAACATAAAAAACCTGTTTTTTTTCGGGCTCAAGGGTTAAATTCAAAGAGAAAAGATAAATGTAGAGTGTATTGTGTAATTAACTCAAAAAGATTGTAAAACCGAACTGCCATTTTATTGCTATAGTTGGCTGTAGTGCAGTCAAAGAGAATAGTCTATACTTGGTATGAATTTGTTAGTCCCTTTCAGCCTGAAAGGGAGTTCAAAGTGTACAATTCGTGTAAATGTTCACAAATTATATGGTACATCACACTAATACAGTATGATCCCAATAATACAGTATGATTCTAATTTCTTTGTTTTATAAAGGTGTTAAATAGCTTTTAACATGTGTATTTGCTATAGGTGAATTAAAATCAATATTTTATTAAACATTAAAATTTAAAAATCATCGTTTGCAAAGTGAATACCTACAGAATGGTCAATCTTTTTTTCTTCAAACTCTTTTGTATACTGCAATTAATATCTTGTTTCAAATTATTTTCCTATTTCAAATAGGCTTTGACTCCATCTTCTATTTTAATTGTGAACATTTTCTCTTTGTATATCATTGTAAAACAAAAACAAACAAAACGTAATAAGGGTTTTAATTTTGACAAAAAATATTTTTCTCAAAATTTGGATGATTTTCGTAAGTCAATGCAGAAAACATACTGGCTGTACCAAAAAGCAAAACAATCAGAAGACATATCGAGCAAGGGGATTTTGTCAGGGATTTAATTTAGAAAATGATGATATCCTTCTCATGGTTACTAGGTTGATGAACCAGTAAAGAAAAATATTTCAGATTTGAAAAATATCAAAATATTTTTTTTCAAATCCAATCACATAGCAAAAAATACAAAACTTCCCTGCAAGATTTATGCAATATGCTTCCTTTTGTCAAAGGCAATTTAGATAGATATTTTGTCTCCAGTTTTGCAATATTTTTCTTTTCGTTTGAGCTATTGTAACAGTGGGCGAGTTTTGTTGATCTTTTACGATCAGCAATTCAAGGATTTTTTGGATCGCTGAGATCATAGCT